GTTAATCTTCAAAACTGACTAGGTTACTTTTAAACATATAACACTGTCAAAAGTGTTAATTTAACACTCAACAGTGTTGTATTTAACACTCAGAGGTGTGGACCCATATAGACACTCTCCAGTGTTCATTTAACACCGGAGATTTTGCTGTGTGGGTGAACTTTGTTTTTGTTTTCTTGTTTGTTTGTTTTGCTTTCCAGTGTTACGATGCAGTGACCAGATGCCAAACCTGCTACAAAATGTTCCAACCAAAAAATTCCGATGACTCAGGCGTTGTTTATGTAGTATTTGTCTGTAAGAGTACACCCTATAATTAATTTGTTCCTTCAAAACCAATTCTGTTCTTTGTTGTCAATGCCAAGTACCACTCTCCACCGATACTTTTTTTGGTGTGATGTGTTTCAGGGACAGTACATTCTGGGTGTGACTGACTGAAGCTGCCCCGAGCATCTGCCAGTTCATAAAGACTGTTTTATTTGGAGTAAGAGCTCGATCGAGCCACATTAGAGCACTGATAATTTACGACTGCCTCCAGCAGCTCTCATTATAGCTACAACAATAAAGATAGGACATTCAATAACTGCTCCCTGCCACACTCTTTGCCAAAGAGTAGAGGAAATATGAAAAGTTGTATTCACGGTGTCACTCAGAACAGAGTGCAAACATCTGTGACATTTCTTTCTTTTTCATTTCCTCAGTAATTACTCAAGAGCAGCTGTGCTGTGTGTGTTCATTGCTCGTTATTAGGATGGCAAATAGACTGGCCCTGCTGCCACTGGCATCCCGATTCATGATTATACATCACACAAAGCAGCGTAGAGTAATTTTAACAGTTATTGTGGTGTTTTGGATTTAAAGTCAGATTGCGTACATTTAGAAACTCTCACCTCAGTGCACGACACCCCTCGGCCAGACCAGTGACACCGCGGTGAGTTTGGGTGTAAATGAGATTAGGGAAATGAAATTAAGTGGTGCAAAAGTGACGTTCCTCAGGGATCGAGGCAGCAGGTCCCCGTTCCTGCTCTGTGCAGATTGAATTAAGAGATCCAGCCCACATGAGTCATGTTCTGCTTTGACGAGAAGAAACACTTTTCATGCAAACTGCTAGTGATAATGAATGAGTTGTGTTGATTGCCACACAATGATGGATGAATACCAACTGTGATCTTTCTCTTCTGCCACATGTAACCAGATCAGACGCAGCTCAGGCCCAAACCAGAAGTCAGATTTACCCTTTTGATCTGAGTAACCTGAAAGCTATATATTTTGTATGATGCACTTACTATGTGAAGTACGAGCTTCTGCGTCTATTAGACGATTGAAACATTATTTGTGTCTTATTAATAGATGGTCTTCCTGTTTCGATGAAGTTGCCTTCCCAATCAAAAAAACACTTAGGTCCTCTCATAGAGGGGTGAGGTGACCCTCAGGAGACAGAGCTGACCATCCAGTGTAAGAGGGCAAGGGCTCTAAAGTGGATGGACTCCATTAGCGGCCTAATCACTTTCTCTTTAACATATTTCCAAGATGACCATCAGCCATTGACTGACCAAACCAAGGTCAAGAGTCAGAGTTCAGATTGAGTACACATTAGCATGCAGGTGGAGGCTCCAAACACAAGGAACAGTGTTTTTTAGGGACGTGACAACTGTTCTGTGTAGTGGTGGATAGAACAGATTGAACATGCTGAGCACATGACCTCAGTCTCTTTGTGTTATTGTCAATGTTCTTTACAACTAGGGCTCTTTTTTAACAACATAATTTCCTAAAATTGTGTTTAACAATGCACATGGAGCACAAAATATGCACTTTACTTTTTAATTTACTTATTAAAAGAAAAAGCTTCATAGAACCAATTCAGTGGGCTTAAATAGCAATGCAATTAAGAGTAAAGAAAGAATGCAAAATGTCAGACATATGGAGATGTTTGCACATATGTTGGTGAAGAATTACCTCCTAAGAATATTGATCCTAGGTCTCACATTTCCTCTGCACTTTGCCAAACACTGGTATGGTAAAGAGGTTTTATTGACTGACTTATCTTTATTGTTATAGCCACAGTAAGCGGTAAATCATGCAGTCATCTGCTTTGAATGCTATCAGTCCATTAAATGTTATCTGTTACCAGTCGTCATAGCTCCCATAATTATACTTTAGATTGAGCACACAGCGTGTGATTGCCGATGATTCGTGTGACTCAGGCTATCTTGAGTTTTTGTAATTAAATGCATGGAAAAACTGATCAGGTGGTGGACAGCCCAGCGTTAGACCAAAGCCTGTAATAGACCTCAGATCCATGTCAGTGTCATTATTTCCTTAGCTTAAGTGTGAAAACAACCCTCCTACAACATACTTGATGCTTAAACCTAACCAAGCACAAAAATGAATAAAAACTCAAGAATGAAAGAACTTTATGATAAAGGCCTGCTGTGCCAGCTGGAGAAGGATGCACCCAACAGGTATTAGTGTCTTCAAATCCTAACATGGCAAGAAGTACAGGTGCAGCCTTACTTATACGTTGAAGAATAGACTGGAAGAAGAATAAAATCTCATCAAAAAAAGAAGAAACTGAATGCTGTGCAAACAGAAACTCTCGATTCATTTAGCGTCTCTTTCTTTAGTAAACTCATGAATAGTAAAAATTAAAAGCATGTTGGGTGTGGACTGAAGGGAAACGAGTACTCATATTTTCTGAGTCATCACAGTCATCTGACATTTTTGTCAGGAACAGCTTGTACCAGGACTGCACAGTACCAGGTTTCTGTGTACCACATGTGACCACATGGGGTGTAGAAAACCACTAACAAACACATGACTCTGTCTTGTTTATCTGGATATCTCATTAGTTTTAATGAAAACGCCACGTCTCAGACAACACTGATAGCTCGCTTCACTTTACTGTTTTTCCGCAAACAGTATCTTATTGGGTCACTGTATGGTCAACCCCGGCTTATCATTTGGGTGATGCTCTTTCAGGTACTATCGTTGTACCTTGGACAGTGGTTTGTACCTAACAGAGACCAGCGCTGAGTCTCGAGGAACACTTTTGTTCTTTAATGTAATGCTGGAAAAATTAAGCATAGTAACAACAATAGAAAGTGCATGCTGGGCGCAGAGGTAATCACTTAGAAACAGAAACAAAGAAACCAAAGAATCAGACCAAGCTCGGTGAGAATAAATGGCACACAAAGATTTGGACCCAGAACTTCATCCCGTGTGACCGTAATAAGACAGATACAGAATCAGATATGTCAGAATACACTAAATATGTTCATTTATAAGTTGAAGACTTATTCATTATTATTATTTGTACCTAATCTCCTTTTAAGTAGGACTAAATTCTGACTATCTGCTGACATGACACCTTAAAAGTCTTGAACAAACTGTGAAAATATGCAGCCTTTACTGCTTTGTTATGTACCTTTTTTGGCACTTGGAAAACATAATTTACGGTTCAGTAATTCGTCCGAGGGAGAGCTTGCACTTGTACAGGGAGTGCAGAATTATTAGGCAAATGAGTATTTTGTCCACATCATCCTCTTCATGCATGTTGTCTTACTCCAAGCTGTATAGGCTCGAAAGCCTACTACCAATTAAGCATATTAGGTGATGTGCATCTCTGTAATGAGAAGGGGTGTGGTCTAATGACATCAACACCCTATATCAGGTGTGCATAATTATTAGGCAACGTCCTTTCCTTTGGCAAAATGGGTCAAAAGAAGGACTTGACAGGCTCAGAAAAGTCAAAAATAGTGAGATATCTTGCAGAGGGATGCAGCAGTCTCAAAATTGCAAAGCTTCTGAAGCGTGATCATCGAACAATCAAGCGTTTCATTCAAAATAGTCAACAGGGTCGCAAGAAGCGTGTGGAAAAACCAAGGCGCAAAATAACTGCCCATGAACTGAGAAAAGTCAAGCGTGCAGCTGCCAAGATGCCACTTGCCACCAGTTTGGCCATATTTCAGAGCTGCAACATCACTGGAGTGCCCAAAAGCACAAGGTGTGCAATACTCAGAGACATGGCCAAGGTAAGAAAGGCTGAAAGACGACCACCACTGAACAAGACACACAAGCTGAAACGTCAAGACTGGGCCAAGAAATATCTCAAGACTGGTTTTTCTAAGGTTTTATGGACTGATGAAATGAGAGTGAGTCTTGATGGGCCAGATGGATGGGCCCGTGGCTGGATTGGTAAAGGGCAGAGAGCTCCAGTCCGACTCAGACGCCAGCAAGGTGGAGGTGGAGTACTGGTTTGGGCTGGTATCATCAAAGATGAGCTTGTGGGGCCTTTTCGGGTTGAGGATGGAGTCAAGCTCAACTCCCAGTCCTACTGCCAGTTTCTGGAAGACACCTTCTTCAAGCAGTGGTACAGGAAGAAGTCTGCATCCTTCAAGAAAAACATGATTTTCATGCAGGACAATGCTCCATCACACGCGTCCAAGTACTCCACAGCGTGGCTGCAAGAAAGGGTATAAAAGAAGAAAAACTAATGACATGGCCTCCTTGTTCACCTGATCTGAACCCCATTGAGAACCTGTGGTCCATCATCAAATGTGAGATTTACAAGGAGGGAAAACAGTACACCTCTCTGAACAGTGTCTGGGAGGCTGTGGTTGCTGCTGCACGCAATGTTGATGGTGAACAGATCAAAACACTGACAGAATCCATGGATGGCAGGCTTTTGAGTGTCCTTGCAAAGAAAGGTGGCTATATTGGTCGCTGATTTGTTTTTGTTTTGTTTTTGAATGTCAGAAATGTATATTTGTGAATGTGGAGATGTTATATTGGTTTCACTGGTAAAAATAAATAATTGAAATGGGTATATATTTGTTTTTTGTTAAGGTGCCTAATAATTATGCACAGTAATAGTCACCTGCACACACAGATATCCCCCTAAAATAGCTCAAACTAAAAACAAACTAAAAACTACTTCCACAAACATTCAGCTTTGATATTAATGAGTTTTTTGGGTTCATTGAGAACATGGTTGTTGTTCAATAATAACATTATTCCTCAGAAATACGACTTGCCTAATAATTCTGCACTCCCTGTATTGACAGAAATGTACTGAAACCTTTATCTCTGAGAACAGAGTTATGTAATGAGTTCTACAGATTTTTCTACCTGAGAGGATATTCTGTCCGTGTCTGTTTTACATGTTTTGTGCATGTGAGATCTCTTTGCTCTGCTGTTTTCATGGCTCTAAACCTTTGACCTAGTTTGGGGCTGAGTTCTAGGAAAGCAGAGCAGTACGACAGAACTGTGGCTTGTTTATCCATGGAAGGAGCCCAGACAGGGAAAGAAACCCTATCTGCACCCCACCTGCCCGCAGAGCCCCTAACGCTCCCTCTATACTGTAAGGACTGTGGGTCCTCTATAATAGCTTATGTGCACTCTGGTAAACAGATTATTCCCAACGCCAACACCACTGAACATTGCACCATGTTTATCAGTATTTTGCTATTTTTCACCGTCAGTTTTCTTTACGACGGTTAAAAGACTTTATGAGGTTTTACAAAATGAGATGCTAATGCATTTTGTGTGTTTGAGGAATGCCTTGAATTAAAAAATGACCCTTTAAAGCTGGACCAACCACTGTGCTTGGAACAATTTAAGAGGCATAAAACTGGGAGCAGCAAGGAAAATAGTTTTAAAGCATTCTATAAGTCACAAGAATCTGCAAAGAGAGGCTTTGAAGTTTCTTACATCCAATTTAATATAAATTCACAAAAGAGTGTCTTAAAGATTCTTGGCCCATGCTTTTAACAGCTCTCTGAGGAAAAGTCAGCAATTTCACAATGCCAGAGGCGGCTTTCTTTGGCGATATGATGTGGGAATATCAGGAGGGTCTGTATGCACGGACAAAATATAAGAGATGTATATGAGACTAGATAAACAGGGAAGGAAATCCAGAACACAATTTCTCATACAGATTTGTATGTTTTTATTCAAAAACTTTATTTTAAAAAATGTGCATTAACATTTCATAATATTAACAAGGTTACAATATCATAACATATCGTAAAAATGTCAGACCTTCTCTGTGGATAGTGTGGAATCTTAAAAACATGACGTGCTGATTTTTGTGTGCAATATGAAATACAATGAGAGTTGCCTGCATATTAAAGTGAACAGTTGAAAAATGAGATGAGATGAGAATGTCATAGATTTCCGAGTGACATGAGATAGTTTTCTCCCTTTTAGTTGAAACCAAATAAAGTATTTCCTTTAAAAGCACCATTTACCCTTGAAATATTTACCAAGACTTCATTTGTTTTTCCACTAAAATGAAAATTATTTTCATAAAAAGCGGAGTTTACTCTTTATATAACTTCCAGCAGCAGTGATTTCCTGTCGTTGGATCTGAGCTCTCTGCAGTTGCTGAAAATGTTCAAAACAGCTGTCTCGATAGAGAAAAGGTGCCCATCCTCCACCTCCGGACAGTGGTGCCTCATAAATTCTGCAAGGCGGACCAGGTACTCGATGTTGTGGCCGGTGTTGCCTCTGCACATGGCAATCTGGGCGGCAATCTCCCCGTCCGAGGCCGGTCCGAGGTAGATGGGGTTGTCAGGTGTGGCGATGTAAACAAGGGACAACACTGAACCGTGACCGTCTTTAGGAATGAATTCCACCATCTCTGTTATGTACCCGCCCTGGACAACCTCTCTCATGTTTAAATACTGAAGAGACGCTTCGACCTGGCACTCAGTCACTTCATAGGCCACGCCCCACGTGCAAGCCTGCAGAGTACAAACAGGTGGAGGTTGACACACTAGCTTGCAACACTTCCAAGACTTGGCTTTGTGAACATATTCAGAGAGAAAAACCTAAAAATAAAACTACAGTGTTTTGGTTTGTCAAACAACATTGATTGAGCCTATAGGATGTTATTTAAAGTCCAGTTTTTACTTGACCCAGTGCCAGGATTTAATAGAAATTAGAACATTAAACAGTAGAACAAACAGTAGACAACCAGTAAATAATGGGTTTAACATTTTCCCTGTTTATCACGCCACAGTTACAGTTTATTGCAACACATTACACAAAAACTCATAATCAGAAAGGTGGAAAGTTTAAAATAGCAAAGTTGTTCTTTTAGTGTGATTGGCCGGTTAGCTAATTATTTTCTGAGCAGAGTTACTACTTGTTATTTGTTTTTATTTGTCACTTGTATTGCAATACATCTGAGAAGACCAGTGACTCACAGTCAGACATTCCAGTCTGAGTAAACAACACAACCTCATCGGGCTTGTTGTGCTGACATTTAAAAAAAGAAGAAGAAGAAGATATTTTAGTTTTAGTTTTGCTTTTTAAGGATTATAGAACTTCTGAATCCACTGCTTTACTCACACATTTTATATATTTTATTTATTGTTTACTCTATTTAATTTGTAAAATATGTGTACACACACACACACACACACACACACACACGTAGAAAAATATTTAGTATACACATCCAGAAATGCATATACTATTATATATTGTACATATATTTATTAGTTTCAGATGTAGCCATTCTTGTATTTTGCTTGTTTACATTCTTGTATTTTGCACAACTCTGTTGCTTGTGAAGCTCGCACACAAGAATTTCACTCACATGTGCTGTACCAATGTACCTGCACATGTGATGTGACAATAAAAGTGATTTGATTTGATTTGACATTCAATATTTAAGTGGTTCACTCACCTCCTCATCTGCTATTAGTGTGACAACTCTGGCTGGCTGTAGAGAGCAAAAACACCGACAGTGAGAACTCAACAACCAACAAGAAAATGCTTCATACTTCACAACAACATACTGTAGCCTACATCTAAAAATGCACGAGCGAACTCCTAAAGGATCAGAATCAGCAGGAAATACTTGTGTTCCAGGTGTGGCTGCAAATCTCACCTTTTCCTTGTCCCCTCGATGAAAGTCATCTCCGTGCCAGAACCGTCTCTTGTATCCTCTAATGTACCCTATTTTTCTTCTCTTGTATTCAAAATCGGGTTTCCACACTAGGGAGCCATAGCCAAATATCCACAGGCTGCTCTTTTCCTTTATAATGTCCTGAGGTTTCATTGTAGGCACTTAACTTCAAGTCCACAAGTAGCTGCTCGATGTTATTTCCAGTCTTCTACGACCTCATAGAGTCTCATACATCAGGCTGCTCCTATATATAGATATATAGATAAATAAAGCGCTGAAAGGAGGAACCATCTTTCACGTCACAATGATCATTACATCAGTAATTAGTCAGTGTCATCAAAATGCAAATACTGTCCATTCCTCCTTAGTATACCGACGTGCACACACGTGTATTTGTTGATCAAAGTACGTCAGAGAGACACGACCTTGGCCAATTAAATAGAAGGGGCGGGGCTCTTTTGTGGCGACGCCTCACCTAAGTTTTGAGTCGTTGCGCATGAGAACACGCAAGCACCCGGGGCAGGGAAATAAGAAGAATAAGCAGATATATTTTAAAGAAAAGAAGAAAGAAACTGTCTTTGTTTCTAACGTTTTAATCTTTATGAGCACTTTCAATATACAGCATAGGGTCAAACTCATAGTGCAGAGGTAATCACATTACCTATAAATAGCCGGGACTGTTATATCTGTGCTCTCTTAAGCTCATTAGGTGTCTGTGTTCTCTATAGACGAGCTTAACACCGCAGTGGCTGATAACTGAGATCAGTTTGTCCTCTGCAAGTCGGCGAGGATGATATTTGATGGGTTAAGAAAGGAGAGAACTACTTTCTTGTTACTTCACATAAAACCTACTGCCACCAGGTGGTTGTGAAAGACATGGCTCTTTACTTGAGAGAAACATCAGCCTGGTGCTTTGATATTGGCTGGGTTAAGTAAGTAAAGTGTTAGATCTCCAAAGAGACGACACAATTGTTATTAGTCCCTGTGTGCATCATGGAGCCTTGGCTGCGGGGCCCTTTGTTTGCTGTGATCATGCGCCATTAGTTCTAGGTCATATAGATTTTCTCCGCGCACTAGTTTTGTTGTGTTTCTCACACCTTTCACCTTTCAGTCAGCTACAAGAATCAACTATTGATCATTATAGACGCAGATATCAAGAGATGCAGCAGTTCCAAGATCCATTTAAGCAGAAAAGACAACAAGAACTCTTTATTATGACATACAGACTTTTAAATATATATATATATATATATATTATATATATATATAATTATATATATCTTTTTGTTTGAGTATTTTCTTACATTTCCTGCCAATTACAATGCTGCCCACTGAATGATTGCTAGCACAATGATTTCATATCACGCAGACACAGATCTCACATAGTATCATCAGAAGAAGCTACCAGGCCAAATATTACTGCATCTATAGACAATGACGTCACTTTCACACCAGGCGACACAATTAAAGCTTCTAGATGATTCCAACATTTAATTTAGGATCTCTATTCGACCAGATGGACACTCAACCGACGAAGACCGACAAACAAACAGTGTACCAGATATGTAGTTCTTGTTTCTTTTCATAGCAAAAATAATAACAATACAATAAAAACACCAAAACAAAAACACTTTAAAAATATATTCACCTTTGCGAGGCATCAACTTAAAAACAGATGTACAAGTCATACTTCTAATCTCAACATATAAATATACACTATATACAAAATAATCTTATAAAACATAGAAAGAGAAAAATCAGTGCTTCATATACTTAAATTACTAATGAAATACTAATCTTACAAAATAACATTATTGATTCAGTAATTTCCATTGAAGGCGTTCTCGGTACGATAGTCACAACATGTATTTCTTTGTCTTTATTTAAGGGGTATTTTGCATAAAGTAAAACAAGGCCTTATTATGAGTTTTCACTGCACGGCGCTTTAGCATATTGCATCATTTGATCTTTCACTGTTACCTCCATGGGGTTGTGCAAAGAAATCAAGATAAGCAGGGCACAACAATTCCCTTTAAAAAGGGGGTATAAGGCTTTGTGATCAAGGCTGAATACATTCTTTATAAAACGGATTGAATTTTCAAACGATAATCCTAAACATCTCTCAAAAATGAACCGTTTTCAGTAGTTTTCTTTTTTTTCAGTCCCTTTTTCTTTTCTTCTTTAGCACAATGCTGGTTTTTGTTTGCATAGCGCGTCGCAGGTCAGATGAAATGGAAAAAAAGCCGGCTCCATCCACATTCCCGTTGGCGGTGAGTTGATTTGTTTGATTGCCGATTACTGCAACAAGATGGAAAGCGTCCATCGGGATAGCCCGCTTCTTCCACTCAGCATGCGGGCACACGCATCTTGGCCCGTTGCCCTCGGAGGAACTTGAACAGAGCGGACGAGGTTGCGAGAGCAAGCCTGATTGGCTCATTATTTCCCTTTTTAAAAGAAAGAAAGAAAGAAATCCCAGTCTTTACATTCGCACATAGATTAGTAGCTTTACTTCTATTGCATTCAGAGAGCACACAAGCTCTATCCAGTTATCAAGTTTTCAAGAGCAGCAACTTGCGTTTAAATAAATCCCAGTCTTTCCACACTTGTAAACAGTCCACAAGAAATCCAATGTTGACGATGAATAATATATTCAATTTATTATACCTGAAAGAGACAGAGTCCAAACATTTAGTGACAATCACAGCAACACGTGCAAGATCTAAATGACCAGTTATTAAAGGGCTGGAACAAGTAAATAGATTTACCTCAGTTGCAATGATGCATTCATTTTTCTCTTCTGCTATTACAAAGACAGACTGGTACATTGAATCTCCAGAAGAACTTATTGTAGATATTCTACACTCTGGTCTCTCACTGTAAAGACACAACATGTCAGGCACACGGCACAAAAACAGTGCATGGTGGTATAAGTCAACATATGCATCTCTTCTCATCCACCTACCTGTACATTCTACTTAAATGTTTTGTGTCTTCTATTGACTTTTCACAGTTTTCATCTTTGTCCATAAGGGACAGTTCATCCTTGTACCTCGCGGAGGGTTTATAGTCCAGGTGGTAGTGGTTGATGCATTTGTGATTAGACTTTTCCCTGGGACAGTCCACCTCCAATTCAAACTTTTTATTGGTGTTCTTGAGCTCTAGAGTAGAGATGAGGTTCTCCTTCTGAAGGTCAACCTTGGAGAGGTTGTTCATGGTGTCCGAGTCCTGCTCCTTATCCTTCTGCTTCTTGATGTGCCCCATCACTGCCACTGCCATGCACAAAAGCAACAGAGCAGCCACTACGCCCACACCCAAAACGATGGCTACCAACTTTTGCTTTTCACTGGACTCCCAGCTTATTGTGGGGCTGGGGGTGTTGGCTTGATGCTCACTGTTGAACTGGCACTGATTGCCGCTGTAATGGGCCGGGCAGATGCAGGTGGACTGGCCTTTGGCTCCTGTGGTGCAAGTCCCTCCATTGAGGCAGGGTTGAGAAGCACAGTAGTCTGTGGGCTTGTCGCAGTGGCGGCCTGTATACCCTAGGGGACAGGTGCAGGTGTAGTCGTTGATGCGATCTATGCAGGTGGAGCCGTTTGCGCAGGGGTTTGCGGCGCACTCGTCGACATTGATCTCGCAGCGCGGTCCCGTGAAACCTGAGCGACAGCTGCACACTCGGAGGTTACCGCGGACCACGCAGTGTCCACCTGTGCAAAAAACACCATCATTATTGATTACTGCTGATGTAGAAATACAGCATCATACATGCTTTTGCAGTGATGTGCGTCTGGTCTCTTACCATTGGTGCATTGCAGTGAGGTACATTTGTCCACTTTCTTCTCACAGTTAAGTCCAGTGTATCCTGGTGGACACTCGCATGTGTAACTACGGCCATTATCCCTCTCTTGGCACGTGCCACCTTGGAAGCATGGTTTGTCTGCACAAGTGAGCACCCTGTGTTCACAGTGTTGTCCTTCGAATCCCTGCGGACACTCACACCTATATCCATCCTCAGAGTCCTGTAGGAGAAAAGATAGAAAGTTTTTTCAAAAAAAACCCCCCTCCGTGTCAGACGTTTTTTATCACATCCTGTTCACGACTGCCCCAACAAACCCCATTATCCTTAGACCAAATTCTATTTACAGTACATCGTCTGTGAACTGGGTCACCCACTGACTTGACAATCGATAGCATCCTCCTGGACAAGCAGATAGACGGAGGCAAAAACAAAAACAGGAAAGCCTGTGTTGTGGGAAAGGAGAGAGAGAGACTTCCGGACTCACCAGGCAGCGACCTCCGTTGTGGCAGGTCTGCCTGTCACATTCCCTGACCTCCGAGTCGCAGTTAACCCCGGTGAAGCCTGGCAGGCAGGTGCAGGTGTAGCTGCCCTGGCCTGTGTTCAAGCACGTGGCCCCGTTTGCGCAGGGTTTATGGTGGGTGCAGTAGTTCAGGTCTGTAAACAAACAGGAGGAAACGTGATTACTGGATCCAAAAGGAGGGATTGCATCAAATGAGCCACACATTTTCCGCTTTTTGCATTATCCTTTGAGACAAAGACGTCTGGAGTCGCTTTCTAATTCACTCACCTTGGTCACAGAAGATGCCCCCCCAGCCTTCTCTGCAATTGCACTGCCAAGCCTCTTTACAGGTACCGTGTTTACAGGACGGGTGGATTTTACACACATCACAAAAGAGACCCTGCCAGCCCTGTCTGCATCTGTTCACACAAAATATAATAGCTGGATCACACACAAATCAACTTTCATCTGCTCACTCACATACAAGAGCTACAACAAGCCTGACAAAAGGGGAACAATAGTGAAAAAAGGTCCCTTTGTACTTGGAATACTTTATATTTCTCATGACTAGGGTTGACTTTTATTTACCCTTTTCGTTGGCTAATTGTGGAGGGACACCAAACCAAAGTGAATACTCACTTGCACTCTCCAGGTAATGTGCAGTTTCCGTTCCTTTCATTGCAGCCTTCAAGACAGATTGCTGAGAGAGAGAGGGGGGAGGGGAGGGGGGTAATTTAGTGTTATTAACTTATTAGGCAATTATTAAAACAGTATTTATTTATTTATTTTACTCGCTGGTGTATCAATAAAAACGATTTCCTGTTAAGTGTCGCAAGGCACACTGATTTTGCGTGATTTTTAATTTTTCATTAATTTATTTTTTGCACTGTTGGTTAGAGCGGAGCAGATGTTTGCCCTAAAAAAAAAAAAAATAAAAAAAAAGGGGGGGGGAGCAGGACAGCTGCCCCATTGTTACGGGCGCACTGTCGAGCCCCGTGTGCAGCTGCCTCCCCACACCGCCTCCACAATAGGGCCTGCAATTTAGTGGCGCGTGGCGGGCGATAATGCCGCGATTAACCCCGACGCGTGCTGCCGAGCGACCACCGCCCTGGATTAAATCGCACGCGCCCAGAAAGAAAGCAGCATCAAGTTGGCTGTCGTCAGATTTCACCTGAACCTCACTTGTGCGCAAATTGTGCCCTACTTCCTCGCGTCCCACGCACACCTGTGATCATGTGGCTTAACAGGTCATTTAATATGGGCCAAATGAAGTCAAGAAAAAGAAAAATTGGAAGGATTGAGAGAAAAATAAATGTACAGAACCTCCCTTATCTTCCTTTGTAACTACCTAATATAAAGCTGTTAATGGCCTGTGTTTTTTGCTCCATTTAGGACTAATGCGCAAGCAGCCTTCCTGAAATCTGACTCATGACCTTTTATACAAACAAAGAAAAGTGCCCATATGGTGTCTTCACTCTTGCTTACGTTCTTGGCAGTATTCTCCCCTCCATCCCGGCAGACAGGCTTCTTCCCCATCAGGCTTGCAGGTGAAGTGGCCAAAACGGTCGTCTCTTGGAGCGCATCTTTTGGAACAAGTGGCCCCGTAGTAATTTTCATTGCAGATGAACCGGTATGAGTAACGTAGCTCCGTCTGCCTCCCGCTGAGCACATCCTTGGACCACTCACGCCCTATTCCCAACTGTCTTTGGATGGCAAAATAACTAATCAAGAATTCGGGTTTGGTGGTATCTGCGAATAAAACAGAAAAAAACATTTAATCCTATTTAATAATGGACTGGATTTATATAGCGCTTTTCAAGGTACTCAAAGCGCTTTACAATACCACTATTCACTCTCACATTCACACACTGGTGGAGGCAGCTACGGTTGTAGCCACAGCTGCCCAGG